ACACACACACACACACACACACACACAATACATATATGCCATATACACCCATGGACAAAGGGTTGCCAGGGCCACATTTGAGGGCAACATTCGAATGTTCTCCCACCTCCAGCCAACACACCACCCACCGTCTGAGTGCATGGAGTTCTCTGTGTGTGTGTGCGTGTGTGTGTGTGTGTGTGTGTGTGTGTGTGTGTGTAGGAGAGGGGGGTCACAGTTGGCCACAATAGGCGTGTTTCGTAGGCGGTCTTCCTTTTCGTGCACTTCTTGGACCTCTTCTCGTCATCGCCAAAGTCAATGGACGACCGCATGCCACTGCCAACGAGGAATACAACAAAAAAATATACATATACACTTATGAAATAAGAAAACAATATAAAAATGGTCAAAACCAACTTTTTGTAACCTTAAGCAACAAAAGCTTACCACAAAAATCAACCAATTTCAATTGGAAATCACTTGGAAAATCAGTTTGAAAAAACTTCAACTTTATACCTTGAGTAGGTGAAACATAGACAAAAATTAAATTAAATAAAAGGCTTCTGGCAATCTAAAACTCTGTGTTAAAAAACAAAAAATAAATGTATCAAATATCCTACAATTGAAGTGCGAGTAGATGTAATCCCAAGAGCAGAGTGTTGTGTGTGTTTTGTTAACTTAATTCCCGGCAAGCTTTCCATAGGCCACACACATCACATCTGAATCTCGGAGTTGGACAGATAAATACATATACACATATGGGTATAACTATAGAAACACGTGTGCCCCAATCACAGTGCGTTTCAGCTGCGTAACTGCCTAAATGTTAAATATTAAATAAAATAAAATATTTTTTAATGAGAATAAAGTAAAACCCAAAATGTTTTTTCTTTAAAACTGTCAAATAGATTTGTGAAAGGAAAAATATACATGAATTAAGTGCCAGCAGAAATATGCAACATTTATTTACAATATTCAAATATTTAATATTAGTTTGAAGTAAATTTTCTGTTGGATCCTAACCTAATTATGAAATATTAAAATATTATATATATAAAATCTAACTAATTAATTCATAAATATTTCCAGAGCAAGAAAACTATGCTTATACTAATTGTACGCACTGTACTAACCATCAGTATGAAGCGGCGTTGTCCTGTGCGTTGCATGTGTGGCACCCCACTCAAAGAAGTGGACAGACAGAGAGAAGGATCCAAACATCCCAAGACCCAAGTTGCAGGAACTTCATTTTGGGGCTTGGATCTGAGTACGGCATGGGCTGGTGTGTGTGTGTGTGTGTGTGTGTGTGTTTGTGTGTGTGTGTGTAGCGCCTACCCAAAAGCGAGTCAAAACAAAACACCAAAAATGGGCGAGGGGAATGACAGCAGAGGAGAATGTAGTAATAGACGAGGAAGAATGAAACGCAGTGCAGAGCCCACACACACACACACACACACACACATGGTGGAGGGGGGTTGGTGGTTAGAGACGAGGGACACGCAGGACACCCAATGGCCACACACAAACACCGAAACCGAAACCGACACCGACAGAGGAGGCGGCCAAGCCCAAAGGCCCGGCTGGGCTGCCGCCATTTTACTGCGTCCTGCAGACACACACACACATGTAGGAAACCCTCAAACCATCCACACACAGCCCTCTCCCCGCCAACCCTTTGTGCACATTTGTGCTGCAGGTGCGCCACTCTATGTGGAGAGAGACTGAGAGAGAGAGAGAGAGACTTAGAGAGAGAGAGAGAGAGACGGACAAAGGACGAAGGAGCTAGAGTTGATTGCGAGCGAAGCAGAAATTTCCGACCTATCGCATGCAGTATCCTCGTTGCGTTTTCCCCACACCCTGCCACCCCCTCTGATGCATGCGTGTGTGTAAAACCTAAGCCCACCCAAACTCCACATCAAAACTCCCCCGCAAAACCCAACCTTAACAAATAGAGACAGAGAAGCGGGCGCCAGAAAGCGAGAGAGAGACAGAGCCCAGGACTCATCCTGTCCGAGCCTGCTTTTTAGTTTTCTTCTTTCTATTTTTTTGTTGTTTTTTTTGGTGGTGGGGGGATTTTGGGCATTCCTTGACTCGTACTCGGACTCTGGTGTGCGATATCAATTAAGGATACAGCTCACTGTGCGGCCCTCGTCCTTTGGCTTGGCTCTGTCTCTCTATCTCTATCTCTCTGCTCCGATTTCTCGCTATTTTGGAGGATTTTTTGGTAGCGATAGGCAGACCAGGGTCCAGCACACACACACACACACACCCCCAGTCCCTGCCACCGACAAAACTTTGTTCAATGCTGCAATGGACAGGACAGCCGAGCATCAGAGCACCAGAGCACACAGGACAGCAGCGTGGGAGCAAGCGAGAGCGCTGGAGCTGCATGTGCGTGTGCGTGTGCGTCATGTGTGCATTGGTATGTGTGTGGTGGTGGGGGTGTTGGTGGGGGTAGATGGGGCCCTAATGGAAATTGGTTTTATGCATGTTGGCTTTTGTTTATTTGTACAATTTTGATGATGTTTTGCTGAATGCGATGCGAGTGGCATCCAGCCCAGAGCCCAGAGCCCAGAGAACCCCCAAACCCCCCACAGAAACCAACTCAAAAAAAAAAATAAACAACAAAACAAAAAGCACACACACATAGCCCGAATGGACATGTCTCTAGGCTGCCTCTTGCCTCTCTTTTACGCTTACTCTCAGTGTGTATGTGTGTGTGTGTGTGTTGGGGCTTTTTCCTTTTTGGGTGTTGACTGTACTTCCGGACATTGCATTACATTACGTACTGGTTTTGCTCTGCCCCCCTCCCAATCTGGACTCTGCGTGGAGTACATTTGGCAGCACATTTCGATTAGCCATGAAACACACACACAAAATGGCGATTTCGGCAGTGAGCCAGATGTAAATTGAAGGCCTTTTGGCGTGGACTGTACCTGAGACAGCCGTCAAGCAATATGAATAGTCAAACGACAAATGAGAACTCCCAGTTCCAGCAGTTTAAATATCTCAAAATAGTTCTTAAAGTTCCACAAAATATCCCAATATGGAGTATAGAAATTTGTTGTAGAAAGAGCTAACATAGGATGCACTCAAAAAGCTCATTGCTCCAGTAAGCCAGGTGTTCAAAGAGCCAAAATATATGCCTAATTAGTTCTGGCTATAAAACTATTCCAATTGGTGCTTAGAAATCCATGAATCCTTTCTTTATTTTGAGTAATTTTTATTCATTTTTAGACACATATTTATTTTGTAATAAATTCAATTAAAATTGGCTGACATTCCTGCTGCTACGGATATCTGGAACCTTTAAATATTCCATGAACATATATGAACATCCAAGCCGTTACTTTGCGAGAGAGAGAGAGAGAGAGAGAGGGTGAGAGATCTGCCAATACTCATCCTTCTATGGCTGTATAACTGTAGAGGAATCAGGTGTCTAGGCGACCATTTATCCGGTATATTCCATGCTAAAAAATACAACTAGAAATTCACTCTTCACAATGGGAGTTGTCCAGAAAGAAAGGTGTAAAAGAGACACACACACGCACACATGCACACAGTGGATAGTTGGTTTCGGGGGGAGGCTAAGAGTGGAGGACTTGTAACGATTAATAGCCATAGTTATGGCCGTGGCCAAGCCCCGAGCACCCGACAGGACCTGCACCAACACCCAACCCGACCGTCGCACGGCCTCGCCTTTGTCTGCCGATAAAAAAACGAACCCCCCAACACACATCGCACTTTGCATATGCGTTTTAGCATGTGCCTGCCAATGCACCCACTCACATTTTCCGGAAAAACAAAATCGACACGAAAGTAGCAAAAAATAAAAATAAACTAAGAACACAACAGACACAAAAAAAGCATGCAAAAAATATTCTTTTAGGTTCGACATTTGACTGCCCAGAGTCCCACGTCCTGTGTCCCATGTCCTGCGTGTCCAGGGGCCTCAATCTACCAGAATCTGAGTATATATATTTGTACGTATATATCCCATATACACATATGGACAGTGCAAGCATCCAATCAGAGGCGGGAAAAAGGTTTCGGTTTCAGTTTCAGTTTTTGGGGGGTGTGGCCAATACACACATGCATAGACAAAAAAAAAGGATCCACACAAATGAGGACACACATTTTTTCTCATCACCCCACCCCATGAGAGCTGCACAGCGCCGTGGTGTAAGCGTGGACATGGACATGGACCACCGGGCAAGGGTTATGCACATCCCGCCCCAGCCGCATATCCACCCACATATCGAGGGGACCCAAACACCAAATGATTGAAGAGGGCAGGGCCAAAACAAATATTCCAGAATTTTGTCAAATTTGTTGGCAAATGTTTGAGAGCGCACTTTTGTTGGTTTGCTAATTGGAAACATTTTGCAGACAATTTTTGATTATTACTTCTAAAGAAAGATCGTAATTGATCGAGGGTTGCCAAGACGCCGATGTATCCTCAGACATACATATGAAACTCTAGAAAAGGATGCAGACATTTAAATCCAGCATCAAGGACCTTGAAGAGCAGAGTAATTTCACTAACATAAACAATAACACGTCCGTCCAAGTGGTGCAGTGGAGCAAGTGAATCAATCGAACTCCAGAACAGGATATATCATGAAGCAACTGAATAAAGACGACCGTCCATCTGCAGCAGGGATCCATTGAGGCGGCAACCTGAAGCCATAACTGCTGAAATTCAAATTTTAAGTTTACATTTTCGAAAACCCTTAGAGCCCCACCCTGCATAATGCATTTGCCATTAATTGGAAACGTGCTACATTTATTTTTTTAAGTTTTTATTAATTTTTTCGTTTTTCATTTTTGTGTTTATTTCTTATTTGTCTTTAAAAAAAAAAATTATTTCTTCAAATCCGAAAAAAAACATTTTGCTTTTGCGATTTCCTCATGGGTTTGATTTGTGTTTGCGTTCTATTTATGTTTAATTTTTGAATGCTTTTGTTTTGATACCCGGTACTCGAAGAGTAAATAGGGTATATTGTTGTTTATATTTTTATGGTGGAAAAAATGTTTTATTTACTGTACATAATTTTTTCATTGAGAACTGCTCTTGAAACGTTCACAAATTCAAGCCACTACGTTAGTTTTTTGTTTTCTTTTTTTTTTTTTGTATAAATATATATTGTATGTATTTATTTATGAATTTTTATCGATTTTTTTGTGATTTTGTTGTTGGTTTTTTTTTTCAAAAATTACTAATAGCTTAAAGGCTTCTTGTTTGGTTAAAAAATCATCAGCTTATCAAGGGGGACTCAGACACAACCCAGGCAAAGCTCAAGTGTCAAACAATAATTGATCGAATGGAACGAAATTTAAATTAAGTAAATTTGTCGATGTTAAATACATGCATTTTATTTCAATCTAATTTCATCATAAAAAAGAAGTTCAAAATAATTTAACACCTACACTCAGACCTAATAAATTATAACTGAAATAGAAAACTTGATCAAGTTAAGCTGTCAAATCGATGCTCAAAGAAACATTCAAATCGATATATCCACAGAATAATCGATGAAGCGATGAAATAAATATAAAAAAAACAACTTTCCATTCCTGGCACACGTTGACGTTGCCTATGATAAGGCGCCGGCGATGACACGGATTCAGTCTTCGACAGCATACTTCTGGGTCCACTCGCGGGCATTGCGGATGGCCTCCGCCTCATTGACCTTCCAGAGTTCGGCCACATCGTTCGCCAGGGGATCATCGGGATTGGGTGCACTGAGCAGAGCCTGAATCGAGAGCAGGATCGTGCGAATCTGCAGCGCTGGACTCCACTTGTCCTTGAGCACATCCAAGCAGATGCGACCCAAGCGATCGATATTGGGATGATAGATTTTCGTTATGAAGCGCACCTTTGGTGCCGACATCGGATAGTCCTCGGGCAGAAAGAGTTCCAGCTTGAAGACGCCACCCTCGAAGGGAGAGTCATTGGGTCCGGTGACGATCACATGGAAATAGCGAGCATTGTTCTCGTCGGGAATGGCATTAATCCCAGGCACCGGCTCCTGCATCAAGCGCTGTGTCTCCTTGATTATACGGCGTGGCAGACTCGACATTTTCTCTTCTGCTTTCCTTCAACTTTTTCCAGCTTCTTCTAGGTGGCTTCCTTCTGCTAGGCTGCGTCTCTGATACTCACCTTCCTTGAAGAAATGCTCCTCTGTGTGTGTGTGTGTGTGTGTTCTGCAAAATGTACAATCAAAAGAAGAGAGGAAAATTGTTTGAGATACGTGAATACAAATAAATGTTCTTGTTGCTGCAATGAAAATATGTTCAAGGACGCAGCTTGTTGGTGGTGGCTGGTGGCTTGTTTGTGTGTTGTGTGGGTTTATGGGTGGAAATGGTGGTGGTGGCAGAGGGCTTTCCAGCTTTTACTTTCCTCCAAGCAAGTTGAAACTTTTTCTGTGCTGCAAAAGTTGATCGAATTTTGCATGCCCCACAAAGATTACACTCTAGTGATTGACTTTTTACAGTGTACTTTTACAGTTTTTCTTTTATAATTTATTACTTATTACAACACTTAATCCAAGGGCATCTTTTTTGAACAGGTTCCTGACCTACTTGATCGCTGGTGTTCGATAGAAGGTTACCCCTAACACCCGATAACTGTCAGACTTGGCGCGTTTGAGCCATTTATACGCTTTTACGTTGGTCAAACAATTTCTACAAGAAAGCACCATAAAAGTTTAATCTTAGCCATAACCATGTTTTTTGTTGCACAGTGTAATCGGTCGGTCACACTGCCCATATGACGCACAATGGCACAGACAGACGGAAGACGCGACAGGCGAACGCGCGCACGCCCCACTGTGTGCATGCGGAATATGGCCGGTTGTCATGAGCGGAGCGCAGAGGGGTTGCTCCCACGTCATGGAGAGGGGGAAGTGTGTTTGGGCAATAAGCGGGGCGCGGAAATTTCCAGAAGGAAATGCACCAAATTATGCAAAATCTAACCAATTTTTGCAACACTTAAGAACCATGTGTGTGCGTGTGCATGGATGGAGAGTGCGGCTCTTTGTTGTATTACAATTTATTGATTTCTTTTTGGGTGACACACGCATATTGGGCACACACATACACCGACATACGGGCGCGCGCGACAGAATCCCAAGCTTGTTCTTTGCGGGGGGTGTGCAGGTGCTGCAGTTGAGGTGAAATGCGCCGCAGTGGAATGCCACAAAATCAATAATATTACCAATTTAGCTAAACACCTGATACTAGAATGAACCATATTTTTCGCCTAGCAGAACGCACGCAACTCTCTCGCATACACACACACACACACACACACGAACACACACACGCACACAAATGCACACAATGGCCTGAGACAGAGACGCGCACAAAATATGCAGGAACAAAAGAAGACAAAGAGAGCAGCAATTTTGCAAGAAAATAAATATTTGTATTTATTTATATTAATTAAACACAAAAAAACCTCGAAAATAAGCAACGCAATACCATTTTTCGTATGCAAAACCTGTACGCACACACACACTCCCGCCAGCATAGAGCACACACAAACACACCTTTAGGCAGATTTGTTAAGCCGCTGTCGGTTTTTATCAACTTTATTTAGCAAATTTTTGCGTAAAATGCGCGTTTACTTTGCTTGCCGCCACCTCTAACACGTTGTCCACGTTTTTTTGCACTTTGACACTGAATTTCGTTGTTTTAGAGAGAAAAACTATGATTTTTCTCTATAATGGTGGGATTTGCAAGAGAAACAAGAAAAAAAAGAACGGGGGTTGAACAAAAGTTGCACACTCACAGGGTTCTCGAGATACGTTTTCTTGCCAACAATAAGATTGGACGATTTAGACGGCCTTTTCCGTCAATTTGGTTAATATTTCTTTTTGTTTCTGGCAGCTAGCTCCACCACAAAAAATTATGAATGTCGAACACACTTGAAAAAAAATTGTAGACGTTGCTGCTGTGTGCGCGTATGCGTGTGACTAATCTTTGCATGTGTTGTATGCGTGTGAGCGGCAATGTCAGTGGCGCAGAGTTGCCAGCATACCAGTTGGGAGCAAAGTGAAACTGTATCGGGTGTTTCTACCCATATTTATCGACAAAAAGGTTCAACTGTATTTTTCACATAAAGCGTTTGAATTATAGTTTCTATTTATGGAATTTTATTAAATATTCCAATGTACTTTTATATGTTGTCCATGTAAATAAGTGGAATGCTTTGACAACCCTCCTGCCTAGCGGCTGTCAAATGTGCGGCGAATTCATAGCATTCAGCTTTCCGACACGATGCAAGACGCTGTTTTGCGCCCACCAGCTTTTCGTTTGGCAATCGGCTCTTTTGCAAAACAGCGCGCGAAAAATAACTGAAGTGAAATGAAATCAAGTGTTTAAGTGAGAGTGTTATCAAGTGTTAATTAATCTATTATGTTATAATTATCATCATCGTGGAAAACCGATGCAAGCTCGCAATGGCAAGTTTTTCTCCAAAATGTTCCGTTCTGCAAACAGAAATACACATGCATGGCCTTATGCATGTGTAACTCTCCCAGCCGAATCGCCGTTTTGCACTCAAATCTATATTGGGGCTACAATATGTTTTTGGAGCTATGAAGCTGTTTCCCCTTGGTTTCACCCACTTTATGGTCATTATATATCCTATCGGCAGAATCAAGTAACCAGAGACACATTGGCGGGCTCGTTGGGCCAGAGCGCGAGCTAACGTATGCACGTAGTTACATATGTGTGTGTTCATGTGAACGTATGCACATACGGGCACAATACACAAAACACAAACAAAAACGAAGGTCCCCTCTGTTTGGTCAATTTAAAATTTGACACCAACACCGAAACAAACCCAACGAACAAAAAAAATACCAACAAATTGTCAATTTTGTGTAATCAACATTTATGCGTTGTAAATACCATACCGGTATTGGGCAGTGTGACAGGGAGAGAAGAGGCTGGTCATAAGCGCACACACATACTCATATCAGCATAGCACACACATCACGCTCACATGCGGACATGCACATATTTGCCTGCAATGCCCAATTGGACGCACAAGAAGCAGCAGAAAAACGGCAAAAAACTATACAAAAAAACAAAAACAAAAATACCAACAGGCCATTGAGACAGGCGGCTTATCTTGCCTCTCGCTCTGGCGCTCGCCTGCACCACACACCGCTGCTGCCTATTTGCAATGCAATCGAGCGAGCGCACGACGACGACGACGACGACGTCGGCGCGTCCGCTGCGCGCACAAATACGAATGATAAATAGCTGCGTGTGTGTGTGTGTAGTGTGTATGGTTGTTGCTGTTTCTTTTTATCTCACTTCACTAACACACACACAGCGAAGTCGTGCGGCGCGTGCACATTGAAAAAGGGCAACAGCAACAACAAGTCGAGGCAGCCATATGCATTCACACACATACATACATACATATGTACGATCTGTTTTTAGGCTGTGGGGCAACAACTGTAAAGTAAACCCAACCCACAAGGCCCATTGCTCGGATCCAAGCGTGAGCGAGAGGGATAAACGTGATATAGTGAGAGTGAGAGCGAACAACTTGACTCTCTGCTGCGGCTGCGGCTGCTGCTGCTGCAACTGCGCTGCCGCCTGTTCACGCAGATATCGATACGTGACTGTGCGTTTGTGTGTGTTTGCAGGGGTTGCGCGATAGTGTAGGAGGGTGCATCAGAAAAATCAAGAAGGGGGGGGGGGGGTGGTGTTGCTGGTGGCTGCGACCTTTACTTGCTCTTGAGTTGCAGCTGTTAAACGGAATTCGTTTTACTTACTTACTACGGAAGACAGCTGATCATATCAAGGCTGAGGGGGCGGGTGTCGCTGCGGAGTAAGGCAGGAACTCATGTGATGCAGGTAGTTCAAACATTGCTCTACTCTTGCATCAATGTCGTTTTCCATTTGCGTTTGTCTTCAACAAAGCTTTGATATTCATTAGATGGTTCAGATAACGATGGGAAGAGATGTACATATTTATATTTAATATACAAATTAACCAAATTAAAAAATAAAACTAATAAAGAACGGCTCTTCTCCACCTAAATCTGGATAGTCTTGAGATATCAATGAGTTTCAAAGTACATTTTGGAGTATCTAATATAAAATGAGTATTTTTCAAAGGAGCTGCGTCAGTTGGTTGTCAATAGGTTCCAGGGAGTCAACATTTATGGCTAGCGAGAATCCTTCTGGTAATCGCGGCGTATAGACATTGTCCGAAATAAGCATATAATTTCCCCATAAAATGGTTTCCTAGACGTGCACCCTAGAAGGTGCCACAACAGAACTGCCATGAAAATGATTCCACCCTCGTGCTTGTAGGCAATGTCTGCTGTCTACGCCATGTTTTAACTATGGGAGGAGTACAATTCGTTGTCGTTTGCTATGGAAAAACACTTGCGGATAATAATGGAAACCCTATAAATTTTTACACAAATGAAAAGTGCCATTAAAATATGTGGGAATGGGGTGGCACTCGGAGATTTATTATGCTTCGGCACTCCTCAGGTCCGCTGTTTTGCAAGTCCTGCTTTGAGCTGGAGCGTGGATGATGGGTTTCCGATGGATCACACACCTGCAATCTTTATTAATTTAACTCTCATTTCTATATCTATTGCAGCTGCAGCCAAAAAGATTTTCGACAAGAGCAAACAGCTCTTCAAACCCTGTCAATATGTGCGTCAATTGTGAGTAGAATAAGCTTATAAATGCATTTAAATAAAGTCAAACCACTTCCCTGCAGGTGTGGAGATGGGGGTTCGATTTGGAATACGTTGGAAAGTTCGGATTGCAACCACGGGAGTCTCTCGCGCATGCGCACATCATGAAGAAAAAACCATCGGTAAGGGAAATAAGTCTATAAGTACATAAGTTCCCATTATGATAATATATTTAAAATGTCTTTGAACCTAAATCAAATATGGAAATATTTAACTATTTTGAAATTATGAATTTATTTCATAAATAATTTGAAAGAAATTCCCATTCCCCACTTCCCGTTTCACACCGTGTGCCGTGCAACCCTTTCATTTATTCTTGCAACAATTATCGGCAACCAATCCGCAGAATGTTGCCCAGCTGCATGTTGCCAAAGGAAAGCAACATCAGTTGAGGCGGCAACATGCACACAAAACAAATTCACTCTGCTCTTTCACTCTCTTTGTCCCGCCAGCAACACCCGAGTGCATCTCAAGAGAGTGTGTGTGTGTGGCTCGCTCTCGCCGCTCTCTTTCTCTTTTGCCCTTAGACCCAAAACGCAACGAACAAAACGAGCAAAACAAAAAATGCAAAAATACAAACAAAAAAAATTTAGTTTTCCTTCATTCTTTTTTGTTTTTTGTTTTTTGTTTTTGTTGCCTTCCGATGGGCAAGGGATTTCGGTGGGTGGTGGGTGGTGGGTGAAGGGGGCCACAGGGTTAGACTCACGCAAAAACCGAAACGAATATATAAAACCAAGCGTCAGAGCGGTGACGATAGGTTGTAGGATATGAGAAGGTGTGAGAAAGGCCCCAAGTGGGCAGAATGTGTCCGTTAGTCATTAGGCGGCGTCAGCAAAGCTGTTAAGCTGATTGTACCGACTGTCATCCTGCTGTTATTGCAGCTGTTATCACTTCTGTAGTAAATATGTTAGGGCTAATTTAAAGTGTATGTTAATTCTGCTTTTGAGACCTTCGAAGATCCTTTCAAAGAGCTCGAAATATCGCTGTTACCACAAAAACTACTGTTAAACTGTTTCTATAAATATGTTAAACGTCTGTTAATGGGGATCAGCATTAACATGAGGTGGCTGCAGCCAATGTTAGCTGTATAAATGTTATTTGATCTTGTTCTAGAATGTTAATGTAACCGGTTGACTGCTAAATATATTCTACTGTTATTGTTGCTGTAATTTATATGTTAATCCTCCTGTCGTTGTGTCTGTTAGTTCTTCTGCAGCTGCTCCCTCTGTTAAGCTCCAAGTGACTGTTACTGCTATTCGCATTACATAACTGATCCTTTTGATCCGTAACGGAACTCTCCCGTCATTATTCCATGGGCTACAGTTGCTGCTATTTTTCTCTCATGTCGCACGCTTTTGGGTGCAACAGACTTGGCCTCGTCGGGTGGGTGTATTTGGGGCTGGAAGGACGCCTGGCGGGTGGCTGAAAGGAACAAAGGAAACGAAACCCTTGGCAACGCAGGCCAACAAAAAAGAAGAAGCAGACACAAAAAAATATCAAGAAGAAGACAGACGAGCAGCACAAGAAGGAGACGAAGAAGGCGACGAGGACGAAGCCGAAATGAAGGAAAGCCGAACCGAGCTAGGACAACAAAGGGTGTGCGGTTGGGTGCTGGTCGTTGTGGGCCTGTGTTGTGTGTGGGTGGAAAATTGCGTCCTATCGGCCGCTTTTCGGCCAGAGAGGGGGGTGCTGTGATTGGGGGGGCTGCAGCAGCATAGGCTGTGTCTGTGTCTGTGTCTGTGTGTGTGGTACGGCGTGTGGAGGCGCCACCGAAGTTGTTGTTTGTAGTCGCCTTTTTTTTTATTTTTTGGAGTCAATGTCTGGGTTTTTCTCTCTCCCTCTCTCTCTCTCTCTCTGTCTCACGCCAAGTCTATGGCTGTGTGTGTGTGTGTGTGTGTGGCGACTGCGTGCAGACAGTGGCAAAGTCCTAGACCGCCACATCCTTACCCCTTATCCTCGCAATGCGTTTTGTTTTGGGCCAAGTGCCTCATGCCGCATGCCGTTTGGTGAACGCGACGGGAGGGTACCGGAGCGGGCACGCCTGTACGGCTGTGCGGAGGTTGGCGTAGAGTCGTCGCATTTTCGATTTTATTGAGCAAACAACGAATTTTCAAATAAAAACAAAAACCACGATAAAAGTGAAGCAACCAAAAAAACAAAACAAAACTGAACTGAACTGAACTAAAAAATCAGACTGGTAGGAGGGTATGGGGAGCAATGTTTGGGCAGCATTTT